GATCAATTTGGTGGCTGTGTCATTCAAGCCACCATACACATATACTCTAGGATAAAAACATGAAACATAATATTTGAAGCATCCACCTATGAGAGTAAATAGATGGCATTTGTCTCTATTGTATAACTTTTTTATTTTTTACTTTTTGGCAAGTTCCATTCATTTGGTTGCAAAGGTCATGTTTTAATTTTTCTTTTATTACTGAGAAATATTCAATTATGTACATGTATGGCATTTCATTAACCTGGGGTCAGTTACGTGAAAGCTAAATTAATTTCATGTCCTGTTTGTAGCAATTAGGTGGTATTGAACATGGATGTGCAACTATTTTGTAGTAGGCTTTAAATTTTGTGTGGATATGCATGGATACCATAACCAGGATACATGGGATATCTTTTGCATTTTTGCATTTTTAGGGCTCAACCCTACAGTCTCTATGTGTCCTTGTACTCCCATTGGAGTGTATGGAAGTGTCTCTTTGTCCACCTCAATTCCAACATTTGCTGCCATTTCCTTTCCGGGTTACTGACCTCCTGACTGGGGTGGGATGAAATCTTATGGTAGTTTCAATCTTCATTTCCCTGATGGCTAAGGATGTTGAACATTTGCTATGAAGCACTTACTAACAATATGTTTTCTTCTTTTGGGAACTCCATGCTCATCCAATAATAGATTTTTCAATTGACTCATTTGTCTTCTTGATGTTTTATGTTTGCTTCTCCATTTTTAAATATTCTAGACCATTTTCTCTGACACATGTATATTGGAAAATGATTTTATCTCATTCTGTGGTGGGGTTGTCTGTTCACTCACTTCATAGCATAGTGGAAATAATTTGTATGAAGGGATATTTTCATTCTAATGTTCTCACATCCTCCCCATTGTTAAATACTTAGCACATGTGGTTAGTTGTCTCACCAGTTATACATTAAGGCGGGACCAACATTAGAAATTTCAAAAGGTTGTAGGAACCTTATCAATGAAAGAGTATAACTCAACATAACAATAAGCAAAGCAAAAGAAAATTAAAAAACTAACTAAATAAACCTGCCTATAGTTAACATCATTTTAAATGGGGCATTCCCACTAAGTTCAATAAAATATCAGGGTGTCCACAGAACCACATCTTTCCAAATTAGTTCTTAATGTCTCAGATAAAGGAATAAAATAAAGGAATAAGGGGGCTAGAAATAGGCAAAGATGTAAAGGTATCTTTTTTATGGATGATGATTTGTTACATAAGAGACCCTAAACACTCCACAAACATTGTAGAGCTGATAATTTCAGCAACATGGAATGATTCAAAATAAACACAAACAAATATTTCTATGCATTAACTAACGTGTGGATATTCCACAAAATTGTGAGATCCACTCTCCTCTTTACACACACACACACACACACACACACACACACACACACACACACACAGAGACACACACAAGA